GGGATGGACGCACGGACGGTAGGGAGGGCGAACGGTCAACGAGGCGGGAGCGAGAGAGAGACCGACTGCCATTATGTACTATCGAATCACACACACATACACACACACACACACACTGTCGAGAAGGGACGAATCCCCGACGAATCGCGATCTTTTCTTCGATCGCGTTCGTTCCCGTTCTCTTTCTTTCTCGCGCGCGTCTACCTGCGTCTCGCTCCCCTCTCTCTCTCTCTCTTTTCCCGAACACGTTTCTTCCAGACTACGACACGAGGAGCCTCGGCAGGCGCTTCTACTCGTGACGACGCGCCCCGCGGTCGGCCGATCCTGGGCCACCCATTTATGTAAACGCGACGAGCGACGAGGACGGCGCTCGCCGCAGCATCGCGAACGTCACGCGAGACTCCGCGATCCATCCGCCAGGGGGGTTGCTGCCCGGAGGCGGCCGCGAGGAAAGCGCACACGTATCCCCCCTGGCTCACTTTAACCTTAATCGCGGGGCCAGTCGACCCTGGCGTAACGAATCGTCGATCGCCCGCGGATGGCCCCGGGTCGCGCGCGCCCAATCCTCCTGCCCGAGCGGCTCGCGACGGCCGACCCTGCCCCGCGTACGCGCGTCGCCTACCACACGGCGTGTCCCGCACACAGGTCCTTTATTTACTTACAACGAATCACACGACTTTTCCGCTAACAAATCTCTCTCTCTACTGGGAAATTTTTCTATAATGCTCCGCCGTTGCCCCCCCACGGGATTCCGTAGCTGGTGGTGCGCGCCCGCGACTGCGCACCAGCCGGATGTCGCACGCGCGCCGCCCGCGGCTTCTCCCCTAGGCGTCGTCGACGTCCGGTCTCGGGTTCTCGCTGGCGGCGAGCGCGACGAGATATCGGGGACGAACGGGAAATGGAGAGCGACGGGGAATACTCGCGGCTCAGCCTCGCGATCCGCCCCGACGAACGTCCCCGGTTTCGTTCGCGTCGCTGTCGCGCTTCTTCGACTTCCACGTCGATCGCGTTCGTATCTCGCGCGGCCGAGCGGAAGCGCGTCACGTCAAACCGATGCGGCCAACGGACGCGCGCCAATTTCCCCATCGCGACTTCCGCCGTTCAAAACGGTAGACCGTACAGTACGAGAGAGCGCGGTAAAGCGTAGCTCGACGGCTTCGATACCGAAAAATAATCGACGGCACGAAACTTGTATTTTCATGAGATTATGCAAACGTTCTTATATTACCATTTATATTTGTACATTTCTTCCATTAAAAGTGCGCATCGCTCAGTTTAGTATGCGTGAGGCGAAAATTTGTAGAATCTCTTGAGAAATTCTGGCACAAAATTCCTTACTCTAGTCACTCGAGCTAAACTAAACTCGAGTCGTATTCAAATCGTACGTATAACGCCTAGAATGCCCCGAGTTGTAATAAGTTACGTTTTACAGCTATGCTTCCTCGATCTCCTCTTACGCTCACGAATGACGCCGAACAGTGGATGCCTCGTTTTCAAATTGTCAGGGAATTGCACGCCGGCGTTATCTGTCGACACCGGCTTTACTTCCGGCGCTCCCGTCAGTTTTCTCCTTACCGACAAGAAACCAGCTGGCTTGATGTTTACTGTACAGGAAGCAACGATATCAATACACGTACACAACGGAGCAATAATACAATATAAGAGAACATGCGAAACAATCGTTTCCTAGCGAAAAGCCTGTTACCAGTCTTGTATTTCAGGGCATCCTTCGTCGAGTTCAAAACGCACGTGACACTGTGGCTCGCGTTATGCGCGACTATACAATACCGTTCGCTCTTAATTCTGAACTTTGACTTCTCCCCGAAGTCAATGGTCCGGCCATGAAGCTCCTGCGGTTCTATCTGCGGACAACACTCTCAGAATCAATACACTCGGCGTCAAGAACAATCGCGGTCTTCCACCCCGTCCATGCTTACCGATCTGGGAACGTCCATTATCCAGAATTCCTCGCTGTCCGACACGTCCTCCAGGCTAAACGTGGCGGATTTACTGTCCACGTTCAGCGCCTCCCTTTGAGCCATCTCTACGAGCTGAAGGAAGAGGAAGAGTGCAGCTGTTTAACTTTAACGATTGAAAAATAATTAGAATCTGAATCAAAAGCCGAACGGTCCACTCACTGTGCGCGGTCTGGGCAAAGCCGAGGCGGCCGGCGACGCTCCGTCAAGCGTCTCGCTCAATCTGCCAGTGTTACTGCTCGACTGTTGCGCGACGTCGTCGCTCGTCACGTTACCGTCGGGCTTCTCGGACTTCTTGAGAATGCTCTTGCGCGATTTAACGGGGCTGCCGGCCGTTTTAGACGACCGCGCCTTCGCGTTTATCGTGATGGACCTGCGTTTCGGGTTCGGGGACGGCGGGTCCACGACGTTCTCCATCAACACCATCGACCTGTTCAGCTGCGTGTTCAGCTTCGTCACCGAGTCGTCGCTGACGGAGTCCGTCATCGCTTCGCGAAAGTCTGTCTTGAGTCAGCCGCGTGTACCAGTGCGACGGAACGACGACCGTCGCCGAGACGCATGCCGCGCGACTGATAGGTTATGTGAGGTTACGGCGCGTCACGGCCGGTTTCCATGAGTGCAGACTCTGCGTTCATCTGCATTGCAGAGCAGCGCATTCGATAAATGTGCCAATCAACTTGCAGCTTTTCCATAAAAGCTGCAAGTCGATTGGCTACACATTTCTCGGGACTAGTACTTGGACACAGTTCTTGGAACGTGGACACAGGCCTTTAGGACTCAGACACAATGAAAAGGAATAATTTTAACCTAAGATGACAGTAAACATATTGAAGCCATGATATAATTTAATACACAAGTTACATTTTAAAATATTTACCGTAAAGTTGCTCCGTTGGCGCCCGATGCCTCTTCTAGGCCACCTCCTCCACTCAGATTTGGCCTCCGGCGCAATCGCGAAAACACAAAGATCGTTCGCGCGATTGTACACTCCCGTTTGCAAAGCCTATTTGAAAGTACACATTTTGTTCCGTCAAGTTCGCCTCCGCTTCGAGTCGGCAAGTATTATATCCCAAAAACTGCCAAATCTCGTGTGGCCATCGACAGGAACGGACATTTAAGTCTCGTCTACATAGAAATCGTAAAGCCGTAGTCGTAAGAATAGTCGACCATGATTGGTCAATTCTTATGTGTCTGACGAAATTGACCAATCGCAGTCGATTATTCTTACGACTACGACTTTACGACTTCTGTGTAGACGAGGCTTTAATATACTTGATAGACTAAATACTTGATCAAATGGGCTTTGAAAAGTCTTTAGTTCGATCATTTAAACGGCACTACCGAACGCGACGAAAATAGAAACTTTGTTATACGCGCACTCTTGTTCGTATAATTGTCAGAGAGATTATTTCTTGGCAAGCGATCGATACATTATAATTTTCCGTTATCATTTTACCCGACGAGTCGTGTATTACCTTGCGCTTTTGATCGCGTTTTCTCTTCAAATTCCGCGTGATACTCGTCTCGACGAATCACCGTAGAAATCAACGATATATGACTACGGATCGCGGCAATTACTTAAACGCGATTGATAAATGTTAATATATTTCGCACGAGACGATCGAGACTCTCGTAGGAAATGATCGCGTTACGACGCGAAGGCACGCGAAACATTCGACTCGCTCGACTAAGGCCCGGTCTACAATGAGTTGTTAGTCGTTAGTCAGAAGTCGGAACTATATGTCGGTCCTTTTTCTTCCACCCAGAAAGGAAAAGGATCAACATATAGTTGCGACTTCTGACTAACGACTAACGACTCATTGTAGACCGGGCCTAATTGTAAGCCGCGCCAACTGATAGATTTTTTCGTCCGAGGGGCGAGGTGTTTACGGTGCTACGTCATTTCGTGGAATCCGGCGCTCGGCTTTCGACCGAGTTGTTTACGGCGCTCGGTGAAACAAGGCCACGCCGTAGGGATCGTTCACGTGGTTCACACGGCAACAGTTGAACGAGTCTGTTGTGCCCGCGCCGTTCCGTATATCGTATTATTTCTTGATACGCGTTCGCGTCAAGTACGGGAAGAAATCGCGGTCGCTCTCTGCGAATAATTAGTGATCGATATCATCGCGTGATTGCTGAATCCCCGATTTACCATCTATACTCGGTGAGCCAACAATATCAATTAATCTGTACTGTGATATTTACTCATCGACAGTTTAAATTAATACATCGGCAATTTCTATTGATGAAAATTCGTACCATTGGATAAATTTACATGGAATGTACCGAGTGCAAATTAGTTTGTGCGATCGTGTATTGTTCGTGTTTCCTTTCCTGTCGCGTGTGATTAATATTGAGGTGTTAAGCCTTGTGTCCACGATTCAAGAACTGTGTCCAGTTCCAAGAAATGTGCGACCAATCAACCTGTATCTTTTATGGAAAAGCTGCAAGTTTATTGGCTACGCATTTCTTGGAACTAGAACCAAGTTCTAGCATCGTGGACGCAGGCCTTTAAAATTAACGGCTGAAAAAGTAACTAACAGTAAAGGATCGTTCGCATGGATTACGCGGCACGATTGGTAGGCCGTGTTGCCTCTCTTCGCGCGCTATGCGCAGCGGTCGTAAGATCGCTCACAAATGGCGCCAAAACGGCAATTCGCGACGGAGATCACGCGACGGAGAAGCTCGCTCTCCGGACATCGATTCCTCTTGCAATTCCTTTGGTGTCCTCTGGCCTGGACGTGACACGGAGGGTTGTATTCGCGCGGGTTCGCGTCGGCGTGAGAGATGGCTTCCGCCAGAAATCTGAGGAGGTCCACGCGGGTTAAAGCTCACGTGAAATACGCGGAGGACAGCAACGAGGAAGCACCCGAGGACACTCGTAAGATTGTTTTCGGTTGTCACTGAAAGAATCCGTTAGAAACGGGAGCTCGATTTATCCCGCACTTGAAAACAAAGAAAAATTTTCATCTCCCGTTGAAAATGTAAGATTAAGATGGAGAGAAGTTTTAAATAATAATGGAAAGTATATGGGATTGAAAATGAAATGTCCATTCCTTTTTGTTTCATTTTAAAAGTTTCTTTAGAAAATTGCTTTATTTGTGAAATGACCCAGTATTAATATAAATAGTTACGCATGTAAATTAGAGCTCTAATATTCTAATTCTGTTCTATTGCTTGCATCTGTTTGATTTCTTTTTCTAATTAGTTTCTCGAAAACGATATTTGTCCAATGTGAATTCAAGTGGAGACCAGAGAATTTCGTTCAAAATACTGTTCGATAGCGCTTAAAATTTCATCTGTGTTTATTGTATTACTCTGCCAATGTAGCTTGTGTATTGTTTGTTTTTGCAGCGCGAGGCAACGCACTGAATGCTGAGGTAGAAAAGCAGCTTGAGGATGTCGAAGAGGATGTGCAGAAACCACATGGTAATCGATGAAGATTTATACACAAATTTATCGCTTTACTCCTGTCTGACACTGTGCCTTAATACGCTTCAGAATTATTCTCCGAGAAGGACGTGTGCGGAAGGAAATTGTACGGATTTCAAACGCCAACAAAGAGGAACAGCATGATGCTTAAAGCCAATCAGTGCCGTACACCCGAGACCCCGAAAAGTCTCAAGGCATTTCCAGTCTTAAAAATCGTTCTCGATAAGATTGTAAAGATAAAACCTGAGAGTCAAGCGAGCAGCAAGGATACCAAAGGTGTGTAATGTCTCGTAGTGATTTCGGTTGCTTGCACTAGTGCACCTTGAGTGCACACCAAGACTTGTACACAGCCAATTCTTATATTTAAGGATCGTTTTGAATATCTCTTGAAATATTTTGTAGTAAGGTAAGTTATCTGTAAAGCATCCATGCGGACCATTTTTTTGGCTAAATTCTCTCTAAACATGTATTTGAGACAAAGTGAAATACATAAAAATTGCCAGATACGGTCAATAAAAATCTCCGATGTTGTTAATTACTGCTGGCGACTTTTAAGAATATTCTCATTAGTATATAAAAATGGACTATAAACAGACCTTAGTGTGCGCCCAGTGCGCACTAGTGCAAGCAATCGAATTTGCTAACAGAGATTTTGCTGCAAATTATAAAATAAGTTGCTCGCATCTGTTTAATTTCTTTTTCTGGCTAATTAGTGTCTCGAAAACGATATATGCCCAGTGTGAATTCAAGTGGAGACGAGAGCGTGTCAGAAGACAGTGAATATGTACCGTCGAACAACGAAGTCAGTTCAGAGTCTGACGAAACTACCGATAAAAGTGAGGACAGCGAGAGTTCTGACGCGAACACGAAAAACGACGCTAGACGGGCAATTAAGCAAAAAGTATTGAAATCTTTGCCAAGACGCGAGGTGCAAAGTACACCTAGGAAAGCGGGAAGAGGCCGTAAAACCGTCGCTTACAGAGATTATGTAAGTTATTAACAAGACTATCTTGAATACTTGCCAAATTATACCCAAATAATGTTTTAGTTACGATCTCTTACATTTAATTAATTATTTATTTTAAAGCACATAAAAACCGACGAATATTTTGAATCTCAATCGGAAAAGACGGTTACATCTGACCGTACGTTAGGAAGACTCAGGAACGCTCGTCTTACTGAAGAGACGCTGGACGAATTATTAACGAATCAAAGTCATATCTCTGCGTTACATAAGAAACGTATTTGCTCATTGACAGAGAACTCTAGATCTTTCTTTCCTATGTGGCAATTCATATTGGAGTAAGTATTAAGCGGTGCGGTTATGGAAAAAACTTATCTTTCGATGCTGTATTTTAAAACGTGTCTATATTTTAGAGAAGGTTACAGTCTGCTACTTCACGGAGTGGGCTCAAAGATGAATTTAATGAACGATTTCCACAACGATATAGCGGATCATCCAACCTTGGTTGTAAATGGATTTTTTCCCAGCTTAACGTTAAAAGATGTTCGTGAGATACACGTTGCGTTATTAATTAAAAAGATACGACAGCGAATTCGGCAGCTTGCACTAGTGCGCACTGAGTGCCTACTAAGGCTTGTTTACAGTCAATTCTTATACTTAAGGATCGTCTTAAATATTTTTTTAAATACTTCCTAGCCAGTAAAATGATTTATATAGCATTCGTACGGACCATTTTTTTGGCTAAATAGTTTTTCGACATGTACTCGAGATGACCATAAATATAAGAGTAGTTTCAAGCCTTGGTATGCACTCATTGCGCACTAGTGCGAGCTGCCGAATTCGCTACAAGAGACACGTAGTATGTATTAAATATTATTTCAGATACTCGATAACATAATAACGGAATTATTGGATGTAGATTGTCCAACAAACCCAAATGATTGTTTAGAACTTATCGAGACAGTCATGAAAGATAATCCGGATGATCGGCTTTACCTAATAATCCACAATATAGACGGCATAATGCTGCGTTCGGGTAAAGTTCAAAATGCTCTCGCCAGTTTAGCAGCCGTTCCGAATATCCATGTCGTAGCGTCTGTCGATCACGTAAACGCGCCGCTCCGTAAGTTACATTTTCTTCACGCTAAATTGGGGCTGATGTGCCGCGAATTTGATGTCACTGATTTGTCATTTCAGTTTGGGACCACGTAAAACGCGCAAAGTTTAATTTCTATTGGTGGGACGCTACGACCTTATTGCCGTACCGAGCGGAAACTTCGTACGAAAGTTCCCTGTTGGTTCAACAAAGCAGTGGACTCGTGTTGTCTTCCCTCCAGAATGTCTTCCTGTCTCTCACCTCAAACGCCCGAACGATTTACCTGATCCTCGTCAAGTATCAATTGAGCAACAGCAGTCACAATTTCGCAGGTGATTATCGCTCGGCTATCGTTTCGCTAAGTCGCAATGGATAATTTATCGATGCCGTTTTAGGGATGCTGTTCAAGGATCTGTATCGAGCAGCGCGCGAACAGTTTCTGGTCAGCTCCGACTTGGCATTAAGGGCACAGTTAACTGAATTTATTGATCATAAATTACTGCGAACTAAACGCACAGTTGACGGCGCTGAACATCTGTCGATACCCCTCGACAAGACTCTCCTTAAACAGTTTATGGAGCAGCACGGATCGTAATTTGTTTGATGAACTTAATAAAGTATGTATTTTTGTAAAATAGTCGATAATAAGAAACAATAAGAAACTAATAGTTTAATGACTACATTAAACTGTTAATTCCTTTATTACATATCGCTAATATATCGCGTTTTACTCGTATTTATGTATGAAATGTATGATTTTTTCTATTTTTTTTATTAAAAATCCACAGGTCTATTGAAATGACGGAATTGTCTTGTTGTGTCTAATCAATCGATGTAAATTACAACTGCAAAGTTTTAGCAACGAAATATCATCTTTCACTACCGCAAATCGTGATAGAACTGGAGCTCGTTTAATTCCGTTCTTGTCAGATAGAGGGGGGGGGGGAGTTAAATATTCAAGAAATATTTTTAATTTGACACAATAATTCTCCCGTCAAAACTCAAACCGATATCCCTTCAACGCAAAACCGGCGCGTTCCCGTTTCACGCGTGGTGCGCACGATGCATCGTTTATCTTCATTTAGCGTCGTAAATAACAAGGCTAAATGATGCATTACGTATGCACCATGAAATGGAACGCACTCGCAGTTCGCGTTAAAATAAAAAAAATGGGATAAACCCGAAAGTGCCGTTCGCGCGCTGTTCAAACGCGAGCAGCGTCACGTGACCGGCGAAGTCGCGGCGCGCGCACGCGCGTGCCGCGCGACGTCCCGCCATATTGCGATTCGCGAAGTCGGCGCGAGTCAAACGAAGGCGCCAACCGTGTCCGCGCGTCAACACGCCCCTTTGTGCCCGCGATAATCCGACGCCGCGCGCGCGGCAGGAGCGGTTTTCGTCGCGGTCGCGCGATGAGCAACGGGACGGCGTTTCCGCGCGCGAGCGTCGTCCCCGGGACGACGGTGTCGCCGGGTCGCGCCGGGGCGGGATCGCGCCGCGGCGGTGTTAGGTTAAGTTGCCCGCAGCGGAGCGCGGCGCCGTGAAGTCAGACCCGCGTCGACTGCGACTTCGATAATCGCAGTCGGTTCGAAAGTCGCGACCGGCGCCAACGGTCGGTCGCCTGGGTCCGTCGGTCGGTCGGTCGTGCGTTCGGACGTTGTCGCGATCAGATTCTCTCGCGCGTGCGAAAGGGAAAGGAGACCCGCGTCGCTCGCGCGGCCGCCGTCGTGAGATCCGCGAGGTGGATGGCGCACGCCGCTGCCGGCATCGTCAACGTAAACAACGCGCGCTGCTCGCATGACCGCTCTGACCTTACACTGGTAAGTCGCACGCGCGCGCGCAACCTTGACTTTCGGATCGAGTTTGTGTACGGGGAGGAAGTGAGAGAGAGAGAGAGAGAGACAGAGAGCGAAAAAACGCCGCACCGAGTCGCGAAGCCAGCGGCGTACGTACGCGTTTCTCTGCGGAAGCCGCGATGTCACCGGCGAGACACGCGCGAGGCTCGCGTTCGTGTTGGAACGTAGGGGCGTGAGGACGTTCCGGGAGCTTACGCGCCGCTGCCGAACCGTCGGCGTACCTGGCATACGGGATCTTGGAAATTGATGAGAGAGAGAGAGAGAGAGAGAGAGAGAGGTAACGCCCGGAGATACTCCGTTTCTCCCCTCGCCGCGATCTAGCCGAGGGTAGTTGCCGCTGGACCGCGCCGGTTACGCGGTTTCTCGATCCCGTATCGTTTTGCGCACTGTCGCCGGTCAGACAAACCCACAAGCCGGCACGACTGATAAAAGGATTTATTTGTTGCAGATCGCGCTTGACACTGGAGTGAGCTTGGTGACTGTCGTTTGTAACACCACGTCGATTGCTGAACTCCCTTCATTGAGTCTCCCAGGGTGAGTACGTTAAGTTCAGTTAAGCGTTTCTCCTTTTCCCCTTCGAAGGAAGGGAAACGCCGGGGAACGTTAATCACTTTCAGCCAGTGTGGAGCAGCGAGTGCCTGTACTTGTTGCGCTAAGCCGAATTCGCAAACGTGTTGCTGTTGTCTCCTTGTATGTGCGCTGGATTTCACGCAACGCAGTCGTTACGCACTGTATCTGAAAGAACCTTGTGTACAGGTATGTTTAATCGGTAGAACGCAAAATGCATCGCACAATGCCCTTTTCTCTGTTAATTTCTCCTCGCTGCGTGATCTTTCGAACGTGTCTGACAAAGAGCAGCCTCAAGGTTCTTTCGCACACTTGGCTGTTTTGACTGGCGCTCCGAGATGCCCGGTACTCGCTTCGTGGACTTTACGCTATCGTTAGGAGGACACGAAACAGTATTATAGACGTGTTCTGCTTAATTGAGTTAGCTATTGCAAGACCTATTGCTGCCTGATCGCGGTGCAACGTGATTCTTTTCACGCCGTTGTCACTGGCCAAATTTGACTGTTAGGGAAACGTTGAACGCTTCCCTTTGCGTGAAAACGCAGTAAGTATCATTACTTTTGTGCCGAGGATTAAATAAACAAAGCTACGACCTTCCTGCATAGCTGGGAGAGGTGTTTTATGAAAAACATTTCTTAGAAAGAGCAATTTCGTCGACTTCTAACGAAAACGTACGACTCTCGCTTTCGAAAGCGTCACCGATCCGCCTGACGTACAAATCGCACGGGGGATGCTATTTATAATCGAGTCTATCGACGATCTTCAAGTTTTTTCTTTTTTATTAAAATTTTATCACCTCGCGCGAATAATCCGTCCCTTCTCCGCTGGAGATGCTCGATTCTACGAGTGTGAAGAAATTCTCGCGGCAGTTGATTTCGGATTAATTGGGCGTATTTTTATAGAGCGATATTTTTGTAATATTTCATAACTTTAATCGCCGTGGAAGGATACCGTTCGCACATTGCGAGAAAATTAATTCCCAACGCGTGCCGACAGATCGCGCGCGTTGTCCATCTTGGCGTTTGGCCTAACGACGTTGTACAACCAGAGAAAAGATTTAGCAGGGCTGAGAAAGTTACTTTATAAAAGTATCTAGTTACAGTTTTTTTTTTGCTAAAAATGTACCTAGTTACAAATTACCAATTCTGAAAAGTAACGCGTTACAGTTACTCCAAAAAGTAACGAATCGTTGCTTTGCAGTCACTTTCTTGCAATGAAAATAAAAATATCACGTCTGCGTTTGAAAATGTCATGTGTCGATAAGAGCGTTTATGTGCGAATGCAAGACCCAATGCGATCTGTAGAGGTTTAAAAAATATATAAAGTAACTATTAATGCAACTGTTAAATTAGTTGCTAGTTGTCGAAAAAAAAAATGTAACTGCGTTAAGGGGATGCTGGAGTGATTCTGCACTTTTGGCACCTTTTGCTCCTAGAACTGCCAATTCGTGAAAACATTTGTGCAATATACAAATTACCACTATTCGGACTAAATCAGAGAACAGCGTGGTATCATTGAAATGAAGTTTAGATGCCTAACAAAAAATCTATTCACTCGAATGAGTTACCTAACTTATAACTTATTTGAGCGAATAAACTTCTTGTTAAGCTCCGAAGCTTAATTTCAATGATACCATGCTGTTCTTTCACTTAACCTGAATAGCGGGACACTCGGTCCGTACACAAAAGCCACATAATTTGTGTATTACACAAATGTTTTCACGAATTGACAGTTCTAGGAGCAAAGGGTGCCAAAAGTGCAGAATCACCCCAGCATCCCCTCAAGTTACAGTTACAGATGGAGAGAAAGCAACGAAGTTAAGTTAGACTTACCAAAAAAAAAAGTAACCGTAACTGTAACTTCGTTACAAGTAACTTCCCAACCCTGAGATTTAGTTAGGTCAAACAAATGAGATACGTTGAAATCATGTTTCTTTGAATCCATTAAACTTTGATTTACTTCTGCTAAAACGTTTGTTAGATTGGAAGAAATGGATATGAATTCTCTCGGAAATTCCAGTTCTCGATCAAATGAAATTTCGGCTGAGGTAAAGAAATCGTTTCTCTGAGATTAAATAAAAGTCTAGCAGGGTCCAAGTTCAAACAGATCTGCTTGATTTCAAACAAACTTTTCTTCCGGGTGTAGACCGGTGGAATACATCTGATATAAAATCCGGAGAATTACTTCAACCTTGCCATTTAAACGCTACTTTAAACCTTATTAAACATTAACGTGGCTTCCATGAATATTCAACGTTAGTGGTACGATTTTCTGTTTATCGCGACTTTCCAATGCCCCGAGTTACCGTTTGATTTGACCCGCGCCCTCGCCGATCTGGAAAACGTTTTCGCAAAACAATATCGTATTTAAATTTCGAATGACGAGAGCGTCCGGCTTTCAGGAATGAGAACAATCGGGTTTTCACTCGGCGCGTCTCGGGATAACGGCGGCTCTCGGGAGAGCGGTCTCTTAAACGGGCGTGGAACTACACTCGTGAAAGTTGTCAAATTGTCCCAGTTGTCTAACATACAAATCGCGACGCCGAATTTATAACCGTTCCACGGAACTCGCGGGTCGAGAGAGAAAGAGAGATTTCTCCCAAGTCTTATTAAGATCTCTTTATGGCGCGGAAGTAACTTGTCCCTCCTCCGATAGACACTCGGCTCGTGGGCGTCGAGAAATGCTCACTGAATCATTCATTGAAAACCTCTCCTCCAGATAACGCCAGATCGTTAAAGAAAAGCCTTATTAATATTTATCGGACGGCGGGGAGGTTTCGCAAACAATTGTAGAAAAAAAGGGAGAGAGAGAGAGAGAATCTCGGCGCGTCCGAAAATTCAGGCTCTAAATTGCGCGAGCTCGCGGTCTTCTCGATAGAAATTATCTGGTAGAAATGATCGTAGAGATTGAAATTTGATCGATCGAATCGGTGATTCTCGAGGAAAGTTCCTCGATTTTCTCGTTAATTAAGACCGATATCCAGCTTGTGAACGCTGGCAACAATTTCGGGCACGCGAAAGCCGGGAAATCTGCAAAAGTTTACTTTCATATATCGATCGCGTATCTTTCTCTAACTCCGTTAACGTCGCGCAACTGTTTCGCCGATTTCACTTTTGCCAAGACAAACTAATTTCTCTCCGAGCTACGATTCCCCGAGAAAACCGTCGCTCGATAGCCGCGAGATTTGATGCACGAGCGGAATGAACGAACGAACGAACGAGGGAACGGAGGGAGAGATTTGCTTTCGCCTCGAATTCGACGTCGCTCGCACGCTCGCTCGCCCGCCCGCCCGCTCG